ACCACAAGGCCAGTTCCTCTCCCCATGTGAAACACCTCAAAGGTGTGGAAACTGAGGCTGTTCCTTCCTCACTGCACTTCACTGAGACTCAACTTTATAACCCTGTGAAGTCTGTGCTAGCAAAGTGGATGCTTTGTTTTGTACTACATCTGGGCTATGATTGACTGTTTTGTTTTACAAAGAAGTGTTGAATTCTGGGTATGGGAGATGAGCTATGAGTATGTAAAAAGACAAATGAGGTTTTCTGTTTGTTTGTGTTTGTTTTTGTTTTTCGTGTTTAGTTTTGGTTTTTCAAGACAGAGTTCCGTGTAACAGTTCTGGCTGTCTGGAACTCGCTCTGTAGACCAGACTGGCCTGACACCCACAGAGATCTGCCTACTTCTGCCTCCTGAGTGCTGGGATTAAAGGCGTGTACCACCATCACTCAGCTAAGATGAAAGAGTCTTAAAATCTTCACAAAGCTTTTTAGCTGGCACAGTAGCAAGATAATAAAATAAGAAACGGCAACAAGTATTCACATGCCTGAGGGTCAGGCACATTTATTTCTCCAATTCGTAGACACCAGACTCACCTTCCAATATCGCACTTCTCTGGGAATCCTGGTTTGAGGAGGGCATCTCTGCATTCCCGGGGCTCCCTTCCAATTTCGCCTTCTCATATCTGCTTACTCATCTCTTCTGTCAGGCTCTCCTCCTCAGGCTGTGAACTTGTTCTCTCAACTGCTACCAAAGGACTTGTGCATAGCACAGAACACAATTTCTAGAAGGTGGTCAATAAATATTCATTCAAATAATAAGAAAGCAAGAATTGGGGTGGAAAGGTGCTTTGAGAACCAAACGAAAGGAGTGCTTGGGAGGGAGCATTCCAGAGGAGGCAACAACCTGATAGATAGGAACTCCAAAGGTTCTTTCTGCTCTAACAGGCTTGGCCACTTTGGTTCTTGTCAGAGTTTTGGCACCCTGGGTCCATCCAGACGCAGGAGCTGGCTTTGGAGGGGACAGGTCGCTCCACCTCTGCTGATAGGTCCTTTCCCCTCATCTCTGAGGAAGTGAAAGAGTGGAGGTTCAGTGGCAGTGCAATGCTTCCTGCTCAACACCCTCCCCCTATATGGCTTTGGTCCAAGCCCTGGGGACCCAGTGACGGGCCGGGCCCTAGAGGAATCCCTTCTCTCCAGTACAAGCATATGGTGGCACTGCGAATGGGAGGGACTTCCGCTGGGTCACAAGAGTGTGGAGGGAAACAACCCAAACAAGTGTTCTGGCATAGAATCTTCCAGAAAAAGAAACCCAAGAGACAGTGCAAGAGCAGGAAAGTCAGAGTCGTGCTTCTGTCCTGCCAGAGTCCTGCCCCTCTCTGGACTTGTCCCTCTGTGAAATGCGGTTATGCTAACTCTATAAAACCATCTCCATTTCAGCCTCTCGGCCCACTCGGCCATTCTAAGTCTGCTAATTTGAAAGTCTGGCAAAAAAAAAAAAAAAAATCTATGAAGAACACATGGATCAGCTTGGCCTTAGTGAATCACCTCCACTCTACTCACTGTGCCTGGCTCAAATCACCTCTCATATATTAAACCCATTTGGAAAATGAGGCGGGGTGTGGGGGTGGTCTCCAGGAAGCAAGTAAACCTATTCCGGGTAATCTCTCTCTCACCAGCCACTCTTGCCTCCTGAGACAGAGATAAGCACATTGTTTCAATCAGGCCCAAGTTCCATTTCCTTATCTTAAAACTATCTTCTACCACATTATAAATAATCAGCTTACCAGGGAGCTAGGCCAGGCAGAGTGTGCATGTGTGTGTGTGTGTGTGTGTGTGTGTGTGTGTGTGTGTGTGTGTGTGTGTGTGTGTACATTTTTGGTGTAGTAAACAGAGCCCAGGTAGCAGCCTGGATTGTCAAGCATCCCAAATGAATGGGGTTCCCACCCCTGACCATCAGAACAAGGAAATGGATACTGGCAAGAGAGAGAACTTTAGGGTGAATTTACAATTGAAACATTAAACATTTACAGCTAAGAACCCTAGGGCAGCAGGCACAAAGCACGGTCATCCCAGGCCAGCTGCCTCATGCTCATCCAAGCTGTAGACCTTGGTGTTAGAAACAACTAGAAGTAGGGGTTTATTACACACAGTCAGGAAATAGGACCTCTGAGAATGAGATCCACCTTTTCTCCAAGCAAGACCTATTACATTGTCTGTGAGACCAAATTCAAAATGAAAATGCACTTGGTGTACAATGAGTAATAATTTCAGGATGGCAGCAGTAGAATTTAAATGGGATCTAGAGACTTTCTGAGCCCTGGGTTCTGGACAGGCCAGCAGGGCAATGCCCACATCACCAGCCCTGCCCCTTGGGCAGCCCGAACCATGTGTGTGGACCTCGAGGCTCCAATGTACTGGTTGCCTACCTGCTTGCATGCTTGCCAGCCACCCTCCTTCCTGCCAGCCCCCTGCCTTCATGCTTGCTGGCTTCCTGTCCATGTCCAGTTTAATATTTGAATATTTGGTATGTTTCCTTGGCATAAAAGTCAAACAGCACGTGATGATCCGCGCCAGAAACTCATTCTGCCCCATCCATTCTCTTTCCCTCACATTTCCCAGCACTCCACATTGTTGAATTCCAGAGTTCTTTTTACAAATGTAAACATGTTCTCACCTGTGTACATTTTTTTAAAGACCCAAAGTTGCATATCTGTCAGTTTTTCTGGGCTCTGCTTGGGAACATTCTTCCAGGAATCCAGCCCCATCAGAGCTGCCCCTCTGCTTCCCACCTTCAGAACCACAAGGCCAGTTCCTCTCCCCATGTGAAACACCTCAAAGGTGTGGAAACTGAGGCTGTTCCTTCCTCACTGCACTTCACTGAGACTCAACTTCCTTGATTTATACTCTATTTCTTCAGCCTTTTTTCTCAGGTTATGGTGTCTGAACTGCTCTGTTACTTGTAACTTCTGGGATAGACAGGGCCCAGAACCAGCCAAAAGATCTGCCGGAAGTTGAGAAAACTAACTAAATAGGTAAATAAATATTGATCTCTTCTCTTCCACCATTCTCATCCCCCAACAGTTCTGTGCATCTTCCTTAATGAGAATAATAGCTTGCTTGGGAAATTATTCTGTACCAGGAGCCAGGCTGTGCACATATCAACATGATAACACATTCAGACAATGCTGTAGGGTATTTGGTATCATTACCCCTTATAGACAGGCAGCTCAGGAAGGTGTATAGGATATTTGCTATCATTGTCCCTCATAGACAGGCCACTCAGGAAGAGTACAGAATATTTGGTATCAATACCACTCATAGACAGGCAGCTCAGGAGGCTATATGGGATATTTGGTGTAATTGCCCTTTATAGACGGGCAGATCAGAAAAGTGTATAGAATATTTGGTATAGTTGCCCCTTATAGACAGGCAACTCAGGAAGATGAATAAATTTACAGCAGTTTACACAACAAAGATATATCATAAGGAAGGTTCCAGCTGGTCTGTTCAATGCCAAAACTTGTTCTGCAGTCAAATTTTTCTTTGGACAGCCAGCTCACAAATAATGACATGGAGACTTCTTATTAGTTACGAAAGCTTGGCCTTAGCTTAGGCTTGTTCCCAACTAACTCATATAACTTACATTAACCTGCTTCTATTAATCTACATTCTGTCACATGGCTTGGTTACCTCTGCTCTATACTGTATATCCCACCTCTTCAGTGTCTCCCTGGTGTCTCCATACTGCCCATCCTGCTTCTTCTGTGTCTGGCTGGCAATCCCACCTTCTTTCCAGTGTTCTCTCTCTCTCTCCAGAAGACCCCTGCCTAGCCAGCTATTGGCCATTCAACACTTTTATTACACCAATCACAGCAATAAATCTTCACAGTGTACAGATATCCCACAACATTGTTCTTCTCTGGTCCAGAATCATACCTCCCCTTTCAGTCCCCTTGGGGTCCAATATGGGGTTGACAGCTGGATGCTTTCCCAAAGAACTTCTCTACAAGTTGTCAACCAAATTTATGACTTTGACCCAGTCATCACCTCAAATGCCAAACTTTGGTTTCAAACTACACATTTACATTTCATCCTGACTGCAGTGCCTCCAAAAAAAAAAAACATTAAATACAACTCATAACTGTAACCCCCAATCCTGTGTGGCCCCCAGCTTTCATTGTCTTGAGGAATGGACTAATCTACCTCCTTGCTGCAGTTGGAATAACATGTCACATGTCCCCTTTAGTTCCTGTATCTTCTATGGTTTTCCTTCCATTCAAAAAAAAAAAAATCCAGAACATCTCTAAGACACCCTCATGTCTTTGATTATAGATCATTCTCTACTCTTCTGCTTATGCTGCCCCAGTCACACCTTCAGTTCCTGACATATCAAAACCACCCTCGCCTCTGGGCTTTGCACATGCTACTCCCCTTCTTGAAATGCTCTTCCAACTCCTTTTGACAGTCCTTGCCTCTCTTTTTCATTAGCGATCAACCTGATTGTCACCTTCTTGAGAGATTTTTCCTAATAATATTTTATTATGAATTCACTTATGATTATTGAGTGTGGACATACATGCTACGGGTTGCAAAAGGGGGTCAGAGGACAACTTTGTGGAGTCAGTTCTGGGACTTGAACTCAGGTCATCAGGCTTGCCCACACTCCTTTTCTTGCTGAGCCGTCTCTCCAGCCCTTTCTGATGATCTTATCTGAACAACTCTCTACCATCCTCTCTCAAGGAGTCTTAATGGAGAAAATCTCCAGCATAATACTTAGGTCCATTCTTTTGGCTGTTCCTTTTGTTTCCCTTTATTGCATGTCTCCATGCCAGATGTTAAGCTCCACAAGGACAGGAGCTGTCTCTCTCATGGTGGCACCTCATACAGCAAGCCTAGTAAGTACCACATGCAAGAAAACTGTAGGATATTTTCCCTCCTTTCTTTGGTCCTTTCATACAATAGGTCTTACTGGAAAGCTGCAATGAGTTTCATGACCCATTATTTTAATTTAATGGGTTTTTGCCCTGTAGGAGAGTTGACAATAAGTATGACTCTTGGAACACACACACACACACACACACACACACACACACACACACACACACACACAGCTTTTCCTTATGACATCAGCACTCACTTTTTCTTACACTTTGCTGATTGATCTGTGATGTAAACTGGAGAGAAGTGGCCTCTAGCATTTCTCCTTCTTCAGGAGGCAGTAGAGCACCATGTGATGAGGACAGTTGTTGTTACCACTCAGCACAGCCAAAAGTGTTTGCAATGGCTTTGGCTTTGACTGTGAATGAAAGGGTTAGTTGCCCGGGTTTAAATCCAAGATCTATAGCAATCCATCTCTGCAATGGGTGATAAAAGTACTTTCTCCTGGCTAGGGGAGATAGCTTCATGGGTAGAATACTTGTTTCAAAAATATAAGAACTAAATCCAGATCCCTGGCGCCCGACTAAAAAGTGGAAGTATGCACTTGTAATTTTAGCACGGTGAGGTAGAGGCCAAAGCCTCCTGTGACCTTGATAGGTTTAGACAGTCCATGAGTTCCAGGTTCAAAAAGAGGTTCTGTCTCAAAAACTAAAGTGTACCTTTACACATGCCCTGGTGACTATACCTGTACCCTTGCATATGTGTGTGCATGCACACACACACACACACACACACACACACACACACACACAGACATGCGCGCCTACACACACACATGTGCACGCACACCCCAAAACCACCCTCCCCCCTCTGTGGATTCTACATGTTAATAGATGGTGACTGGCACATAATAAGCATGCATTATTATAATATAAGTTAGTGATCACTGGCCTCCAAACTGCAAGCTGAAAACTGATGTTTTCTCCCAACAACCTAAATAGGTATTTTGATTTCAGTTTAGCTCAACAAACATTTCCTATAACCACCTGCCAGGGCCCACCAATATAAACCTAGAAGATGTCTAGTCTTTTAGGGACACCACACAGCTCAGAGTGAAGTCATGAAGTAAGTGCAGAATCAGGGAGCTGCCCGAGAAGGAGACCATGACCCTCCCTGCTCACCCTA